GTGGTTACTGACAGTTTTGTTTGTTCAATGGTGCATACTGTGACTGTCACGATGGGAAGACATTCCTAAAGTTCAATCATGTAAGAACTTCAATTTTATTTTTTTTTTTTAAGTAGCAAGTTTCTAGCCCTCATTTTTGGCGAGGAGTGTAGAAGTTTGATGCATTTTTTTTTCCTTTAAACACTTGATCCAGTGTTTGAAGTGAGACCTTTCACTGTTAGTTACAAACATAACATGGTTTGATACATTCTAGGTGAAGGTTCATCGTTTAACTGTGTTATGTGATGTAATGAGAGACTGCTATTAGCCACTTTTTATTGTTATTTAGTCAGCTAGGAACAACCAGAGGAAAATAGATGAGAGATGAAAGGGGGCAGGGATATGTAAATAAATTCATGATCAGAGATTTCCAGAAAACTAAGTAATGTAATGAAGTTAAAGAAGTTGCGAATAAAGATTTTACTGAAATTAGGTAAAGGAGGACAAGCAGATGATGTGCTCTGAGACAGCTGATGGCCACTTCTTGGAGTTTTACTAAATATTAATTATGGAAGCTGTTAAATTTGCTGTGATACATATATTCCTCTACCTGCAATCCTTGAAGGCTTTAGCAAAAAAGAGTTTTACAAGTTTGGAGGATGTGATTACAAAAAAAGAATGCTTTTTGTATCACTGTAGGAATATCTGTCTGAAGCAGTTGTTGAAGGTGTCTTAGCCTCCAGTGGAGGGGAAGACTTAAGGTCTAGCATCCTCCAGTCAAGCAGGTCATTTCTGGAAGTACCAATGGAAAGCAAATTTGCACTGAATCACTGTCTGTTGTTTGTGAGAAACTTTGTTTCTCACTTATCATTCTGTCACTTCTTGTGACTGGTTAACATGAGGGCTTGCCCCTGTCACTGTGGTGCACTTCCATAGGATGGCTTTCTGTGATGTTTGCTTGTGAATTCTCATCCTGGTCATCTTTGGTGTTCTTGCCCTTCTCCAATAACTGAAGGCCAGAGGAAGGGCAGCTTTTAAAGCTGCTCAGTGTGTAAAAATGCACTAGAAAAAAAGTAATGGGTAACTTATTGCATAACCAGAAAGGTCACTACAGAAGTAGTGTCTGTCTGCTGTCTCCTCTGGCACCCTCCTCACCCTCCCCTGCAATGACATGATTTGCATTTGCAGCTCTTTTTTTTTTTTTTTTTTTTTTAGGATAAGATGGATCTACTTGTTCTATTATGGGTTAGAAATACAAGAAATAGAGTCGTTCCTCCTTCTTTCTTCTAATCAGAGCAGGTCGTGACATATTAATTGGAGAAGTTCTAGCAGACTGGAAGTTAGCAAATGTAGCGTCCATCTACAAGAAGAGTTGGAAAGACGATCTGAGGAACTACAGACTAGTCAGCCTGACCTTGGTTCCGGGCAAGGTTATGGAAGAGATCATCCTGAGTGCCGTTACATAGCACATGCAGGACAATCAGGGGATCAGGGCCAGCCAACATGGATTTATGAAAGGAAGATCATGCTTGACCAATCTGATGTCCTTCTACAACAAAGTGACCCATTAGTAATGAGGGAAAGGTTGTGGATGTACTCTATCTAGACTTCAGTAAAGCATTTGTCACAGTCTTCCACAGCATCCTCTTAAATAAATTGGCTGCTCGCAGCCTAGATGGGGGGACTCTTCGATGGGTAAAAAACTGGCTGGATGGCCGGGCCCAGAGAGTTGTGGTCAACGGAGCTAAATCCAGTTGTCGGCTGGTCACTAGCTGTGTTCCCTAGGGCTCAGTTTTGGGGCTGGTGCTGTTCAACATTTTTATAGATGATCTGGACATGGGAATTGAGTGCAGCCTCAGTAAGTTTACACATGACACCAAGTTGGGTGGGAATGTCGATCTGCTGGAGGGTAGGAAGGCTCTGCAGAGGGACCTGGACAGGCTGGATAGATGGACTGAGACCAATGGCATGAGGTTCAACAAGAACAAGTGCCGAGTCCTGCACTTCAACCACAAAAACCCCATGCAGCATTACAGGCTGGGGGAAGAGTGGTTAGAAAGTGGTCAAGTAGAAAAAGACCTGGGGATGCTGGTTGACAGCTGGCTGAACATGAGCCAGCAGTGTGCCCAGGCAGCCAGGAAAGGCCAACAGCATCCTGGCTTGTATCAGGAATAGTGTGGCCAGCAGGACTAGGGCAGTGATCGTCCCCCTGTACTCAGCACTGGTGAGGCCGCACCTTGAGTACTGTGTTCAGTTTTGGATGCCTGACTACAAGAAAGACATTGAGGTGCTGGAGTGAGTCCAAAGAAGAGCGACGAAGCCGGTGAAGGGCCCAGAGCACAAGGCTGA